TAAATATTACACAATATATCCCAACAATGTACATCATAAAATAACACTCTACATTTTATAAATTAAATATTCACAATGATTATATACACATAAATTTATAAACCAACTTGTAGTCCACAACCTAATTTAATACGCACTCACTAAAATTTGTACAGCCACTATTAGAGATTACTACTCAAATTTTCCCCACCCACATATAACCTCCAACAACAATACACACTCCCACACATTACTCCACCACAATAATCACATCCACCTCAATTACACCTCCACCCAAATAACCTCCAAACTCACATTATCACCCCATCCCCTCAAATTACCTCCCCCACAATATACTCCACCACACAATATACCTCACCCACAATACACCCCACCCACAATATACCTCACCATCAATTACTCCTCCAACAATATACCTCCACCCACAATATCCTCCACCCAAAATACACCACATCCCACAATACACCCCCAACCACAATATACCTCCACCCATCAATACACCTCCACCCACAATATACCTCACCCACAATACACCTCCACCCACAATACACCTCACCCACAATACTACCCCAACCCAAATACACTCCACCATTCAATTAAACCTCCACCCATCAATACACCTCCACCCACAATACACCCCCACCCACAATATACCCCCCCAACAATAACCTCCACCACATACACCCCACCCACAATACACCTCCACCCACATACACCCCACCCACATACACCTCACCCCAATACCTCCACCCACAATACACCCTCACCCCACACCCACCTATACTCCCACCCACAAACACCTCCACCCACAAATACCTCCCCACAATACACACCTCCACCCCACAATACACCCCACCCCAATACACCCCACCCCAATACACCTCCACCCCCAATACACCCCACCCACAATACACCCCACCCCCACAATATAACCCCCACCCCAATACACCCACCCACAATACACCCACCCACAATACACCCCCACCCACATTACCCCACCCTCAATACACCCACACTCAAAACCCACCCACTCCACCCACAATACACCCCACCCACAAATACACCTCCACCCAATAACACTCCACCCCACCAATACACCCCACCCTCAATACACCCCACCCACAATACACCCCACCCACAATACACCCCACCCACAATACACCCACCCACAATTTCACCTCCACCCACAATACACCTCCACCCACAATACACTCCCACCCACATACACCCCACCCACAGTACACCCTCACTCACATACACCTCCACGACATTTCATTCCATCCACAATACATCCAGCACAATTACTCCCACCAACATTTACACTCCACACGTTATAGCTCCACCCACAATACAGCCTACAATTATACTTCCACACCAAAAGTTACACCTACCATCAATATTACCTTACCCACTAATACAAGTACACCCACAATTTTTTACCTCACCCCTTAGTAATACACCTACCACAGGTACACCACAATCTGATTTAGCTTACCTTAGTAACTACCACAGGTTACAATAACCTACAACTTTATTATACTTCACCCAGTAACCCCATAACAATTACAGCCTCCAATCTTATTACACCTCCACCTTAATAACCTACCAACAGTAATCACAGTACACCTCACCCAAAATCCTCCACCCACAATAATTCACCTACAATACACCACTACAATACACCCACCCATATTCACCACCAAGTACTTACACTAACCTTCCCCTACATGACTTCCAGCTTCATGCACCTATTCAATCATTCCTATTGATACACCTTCAACTCAATTGACTCCGCACTAATTACACCACCTCAATAAAACCCATCACATTTACAACTGCACCTGTAGTACTACCTTAGACACCTACGGTCTGAATTACTAGCAATATAGATTAAGCCACTAGTACTACTAACGTTACGCTACAATGCTCACTAGTATTATAACACCACAGAGTTTCAGTACATCGTTTTACCCTTAATAACTATGCCTAAATACACCCGGATCCCTCAATTCTACAGCCCACCACACATTCTGAGCTACCCCACCCTTAATACACTTCCCACCTGTAGTATTGCCCTTTGACCTCTTTGTTGCTACCTTCACGGCTCACACCCTCACCATGTCGGGTTTTGCAGCCCAAGGTGCCTTCATACCCTCGACCCGTTAATTAGCACCTAGACCAACCCTAACGAGGAGTACGACCCACCATGCAACAGTCTGCATACACCGCACCTTAGATACACCACCAGCGTTCACACAGTTGTTAGTTACGATAAATAAAGCGTTGGACCATACAATTGGGAAGACTTTAAATGATTTTAGAATTTTAAGTACTAACAGGTTCAGCCTATATGATCTGTTATTTAGCTTACCTTAGTAACTACCTAACAGGTTACAGCCTACATGATCTGTTATTTAGCTTACCTTAGTAACTACCTAACAGGTTACAGCCTACATGATCTGTTATTTAGCTTACCTTAGTATACCTAAACGGTTTACGCCTTAGAATCTGTTTTTTAGCTACCTTAGTAACTACCTAACAGGTTACGGCCTACATGATCTGTTTTAGCTTACCCTAGTTAACTAAAGGGGGACGGCCTACATGATTGTTATTTAGCTTACCTTAGTAACTACCAACGGTTTGGCCCAATGATCTGTTATTTAGCTTACCTTGTACTACCCAACAGGTTCGGCCTACATGATCTGTTATTTAGCTTACTTAGTAAATACCTAACAGGTTACGCCTACTAAACTGTTATTTAGCCCTTTCCTTATGTAACTACTAACAGTTACGGCTACATGAAACTGTTTTACTTAATTAGTAACTATAACAGGGGACGGCCTCATTTCTGTTTTTACTTACCTTATAACTACCTACAGGTTTTGGGTTGATTGTTATTAGTTCCCTTGTTCTCCCCCGGTTTGCCTATGATTGTGTATTTGTTACCTTTGTTCTAAAGGAGGTAATGATTGTTATTTGCTATTAGTAACACTAAAGGTTACAGCAAGATTGTAATTTGCTTTTCCTTGTAACTAAAAACAGGTAAGGCCTTTGTTGTTATTTAGCTTACCTTAGTAACTATACAGGTTAAGCCCTACATGATTGGTTTTTTTTTTGTAACTACTAAGGTACGTACTAATCTGTTTTTTTAGCTTACTTGTAACAAATTTAAGGTTGGAACCCCACATAATCTGTTTTTACCAATAATATGTAACAGTAGTATCAAAAAGATTGAAACAGGATATTCCCTAGCAAATTGGTAGGTGAGCCAGAACCTCCCAATTTGTATTAGACAGGGATTTACCTAACTGTGTGTGGTTTGGTTGTGTGTGTGTTTGTGTGGTGTGTTGTGTGGTGGTTGTGTGGGTGTGTGGTGGTTTGTTTGTGAGAGAGAAAAGGAGGGTGGGGGGAGCGGAGAACTTGAGGGGAGATGAAAGAGGGGAGAGAGAGGAGAGAGAGAGAGAGCAGATTGTAAAATAGCAGCCTGTAGATAGACAGTAGCCTGTTAGACAACAATCTACTTGGTCTATTTGATAATAGTCTGTGAGACAGATGATAGATTGTGAGAGACATAGTACGTACTGTTAAGAAATTGTTAGATAAGCAATGCTCACTAGTATTATTTTTAACAATAGAGTGTTAAGATAACAGTGTTACGGTGTAATATATAGTGTTGTAATAGACAGCAGACCGAGAGTGCAACAGACAAGTGTAGTAGCAGCAGAAACACACAGCAAGAAACATTCTTGAGCTACCCCAGCGCTCGGGCTTAATGCCCAAAGCTGGGGTGTGGCTCCAAAAGGATCCTGTAGTGATTGCTGCCTTTGCACCTCCTGACATGGTCTGCTGCTATGCAGCTGCCACACCCTTCGAGCCCAGTGTGGGCGGGGTTTGTGGCAGCCCAAGGTGCCTAGCTTCTCCCTCCGAGACCCGTGGGGGCGGAGATTGGGGCTAGACCTGGGTACAGGTGCTCCCAGAAGACGAGGAGGTACTTGTACCTCATCCCATGGCAGACATTGGTCTGAGATACTCCCAGCACCTGTTAGATAACATCATAACATCAGCGTGGTTGCACAACAGTTGTTAGTTAACAGAATAACATCAACGTGGTGCCCAACAATTGAGAACGCAGGTTAAATGCGGACACAAAACTGTTAATTTATTTTAACGTATTTTAACCCTCTGTAATTGCGCGTATCTACCATTGTAATTTAAACCTTCGATTTTAGTATGCCACTCACCCCCACTTCCCCTCCCCCATTCCCCCTCCCCCCACATCACACACATTAACAAATTAATGCATTTTGAAGGTACCTGCCATTTTTTTTTGTTAGAAAGCGGTTTCAAAGGGATTCTATTGATGTTTACCGTTGGTGAAACGTGATTCAGTCGCGTAACATCTTCCAGGTCTACGAGCAGGACGTGTGATATACATGTTACCTGTACTCTCTCTCTCTGTTTGGTACTCTGATGATCTGGATCTGTGAACAGTACTCTCTGTGTGTGTTGGTATTCTCACTATATGATATACTTGTGACTAGTACTCAGTGTTGATTCTCTCATCCTGTACTGGTGATTAGTATTATGTGTGTTGGTACTCTCACAGCCTGTACTAGTGATTAGTATTATGTGTGTTGGTACTCTCACAACCTGTACTAGTGACCAGTATTATGTGTATTGGTACTCTCACAGCCTGTACTAGTGATTAGTATTATGTGTGTTGGTACTCTCACAACCTGTACTAGTGACCTTATGTATTGACTCTCAGCCTGTACATGATAGATATTTGGTACTCTCACACCTGTACTAATGACCAGTATTCAAGAGTGATGGTACTTCCTCAACCTGGAAAAGTAACCCGGCTTTATTGATAATTATACAGTAGTGGTGTGGAATGCGTTAAGTACATTATAATTTAAACAGCATTTTCATCACACACACATTGTGGTTGTCCTCTGAGCTAGAAGACTGGCACTTAAGAGTGTAGCATTTCAGTCAACAAATAGCGTGAGAGCCGGCTGTATTAGCCGGGGTGACATTGAACTTGACCACCCTGCTGCCGGCTCCATCAGACGGGGTGACGCTCAACTTCACGCTGCTGTCGGCTCCATCAGCCGGGGTGACGCTCAACTTAACCATCCTTGCTGCCAGCTCCTTCAGCCAGGGTGACACTCAACTTCACCACCCTGCTGCCGACCCCATTACTTGGGATGACACTCAACTTGACCACCCTGCTGCCGGCTCCATCAGCTGGGGGTGATGCTCAACTTCACCACCCTACTACCGGCTTCATCAGCCGGGGTGACACTGAACTTGACCACCCTGCTGCCGGCTCCATCAGCTGGGGTAATGCTCAACTTCACCACCCTGCTACCGGCTTCATCAGCCGGGGTGACACTGAACTTGACCACCCTGCTGCCAGCTCCATCAACTGGGGGTAATGCTCAACTTCACCACCCTGCTACTGGCTTCATCAGCCGGGGTGACACTGAACTTGACCAACCTGCTGCCGGCTCCATCGGCTGGGGGTAATGCTCAACTTCACCACCCTACTACTGGCTTCATCAGCCGGGGTGACACTGAACTTGACCACCCTGCTGCCGGCTCCATCAGCTGGGGGTAAATGCTCAACTTCACCACCCTGCTACCGGCTTCATCAACCGGGGTGACACTGAACTTGACCACCCTGCTGCCGGCTCCATCAACCGGGGTGACACTGAACTTGACCACCCTGCTGCCGGCTCCATCAGCTGGGGTAATGCTCAACTTCACCACCCTACTACCGGCTCCATCAGCCGGGGTGACACTGAACTTCACCCTGCTGTAGGCTAGACACTCAAGCTGATCTGGTACACTTTTCCTCTCTTCTATTCTGAAGTGTGAAAAACGATTAAGTAAATCTCTCTGGCATACTGTTGTATTGATGATTTGACTATTATCCTGGTATTAATTTATAGCCAGGTATAACAGTCGTGGAATTGCTACCTTCTTATGTAATAAGTCCCTTTAGGCGAACTGTTGAAATAACCGAGCACGTTGGACTTGAACTAGGTCAGTTAAACAAACTGCTATAGTGATGTTAAAACAATTTGGGGTTCAAAACAATTTGTTCAGCAATGATGTTGAGAACGGTTGTGCAGCAGTTGTTGAGACGTTTGTTGCAGCAGTGTTGTTTAGACTGTCGTTGCTGCAGTGTGGTTGAGACCGTGTTATTGTAAGCAGTGGTTGTTAACAGTTGGTTGTTGAACAGTGTTGTTTGTAGCAGTGTGTTGAGACTGTTGTTTGCAGCAGTGTTTGATGAGACTGTTGTTTCAGCAGTGTTGTTGAGACTGTTGTAGCAGCATGTTGTGAACTGTTGTTTGCAGCAGTGTTGTTGGAGACGTTGTTGCAGCCAGTGGGTTGAGACGAGTGTTGTTCAGCAGTGTTTTTTTGAGAGACTGTTGTTGCAGCATGTTTTTGGAGAACTTTTTGTTGCAGCAGTGTTGTTGAGACTGTTGTTGCAGCAGTGTTGTTGAGACTGTTGTTGCAGCAGTGTTGTTGAGACAGTGTTGTTGCAGCAGTGTTGTTGAGAGACAGTGTATTGTATAGCATGTGGTTGAGACTGTGTTGCAGCAGTGTTGTTGAGACTGTGTTGCAGCAGTGTGTTGAGACTGTAGTTCAGCAGTGTGGTTGAGACAGTGAGTTGTTGCAGCAGTGTTTTGAGACTGTTGTTGCAGCATTTGATGAGAGATTGGGGGTTGGTCAGCAGTGTTGTTGAGACTGTTATTGTAGCAGTGTTGTTTAGACTGTTATTGCAGCATGTGTTGAACGTTTGTTGCAGCAGTGTTTTTGATACTGTTGTTTGCAGCAGTTGTGGTTGAGACAGTTTTGCAGCTGTGTTTTTGCGAGACTGTGGTTGCAGCAGTGTTGTTGAACTGTTTGTGCAGCAGTGTGGTGAGACTGTTATTTGAGCAGTGTTGTTGAGACTGTTGTTGCAGCCTTGGTTGAACATGTTGTGCGGCAGTGTTTTATGAGACTGTTGTTGCAAGCAGTGAGTTTTGAAACTGTTGTTTTGCAGCAGATGTGTTGAGACAGTGTTTGTTGCAGCATGTTTTTTGAGACTGTTTGTGTGCAGCATGTTGTGAACTGTTTTCACATGTGGTTGAAAGTTTTGTTGCAGCATGTTTTTTGAACTGTTGTTGCAGCAGTGTGTTGAACTTTGTTGCAGCAGGGTTGTGAACTGTTTGTTTGCAGCATGTGGTTGAGACTGTTATTGCAGCAGTGTTGTTGAGACTGTTGTTGCAGCAGTGTTGTTGAGACTGTTGTTGCAGCAGTGTGGTTGAGACAGTGTTGTTGCAGCAGTGTTTTTGAGACTGTTGTTGCAGCAGTGTTGTTGAGACTGTTGTTGCAGCAGTGTTGTTGAGACTGTTGTTGCAGCAGTGTTGTTGAGACTGTTGTTGCAGCATGTTGTTGAGACTGTTGTTGCAGCAGTGTTGGGGATACGGTTTGCAGCAGTGTTTCGAGACAGTGTTGTTGAGACAGTGTTGTGTAGCAGTGTTGGTGAACAGTGTTTGTTGAGACAGCGTTTTTGTGCATTGTGTTGAGACTGTTTTGCAGCAGTGTTTGTTGAGACTGTTGTTGCAGCAGTGTGTTGAGACAGTTTGTTGAACAGTGTTGTTGAACAGTGTTTGTAGATGTGGTTTTTGAGACAGTGTTGTTGTAGCAGTGTTGTTGAACAGTGTTGTTGAACATGTTTTGTAGCAGTTGTTAACAGGTTGTGTAGCAAGTGTTGTGAGAACAGTGTGTTGATACAGTGTTTTTGTACATGTTTGTTGAGACAGTTTTGTTGTACGCATGTTGTTGAGACAGTGTTGTTGAACATGTTTTTAGCACATGTTGTTGAACAGTGTTGTTGTACAGTGTTGTTGAACGTGGTTGTTAAGCAGTGTTTGAGACAGTGTTGTTGTACACGTGTTGTTGAGACATTGTTGTTGAACATGTTGTTGTCGCAGTGGTTGTTGAGACAGTGTTGTTGTACAGTGTTGTTAGACAGTTATTTGAACAGTGTTGTGTAGCAGTGTTGTTTTGAACATGTTGTTGTAGCAGTGTTGTTGAGACATTGTGTAGAACAGTGTTGTTGTAGCAAGTGTTGTTGAGTACAGTGTTGTTGTAGCATGTTTTGAACAGGGTTGTTGAGACAGTGTTGTTAGACAAGTTGTTGTTTAGCAGTGTTTTTTAGACAGTTTTTGTGAACAGTGTTTTGAACAAGTTTGTTGTAGCTGTGTTGTTGAGACAGTGTTGTTGAGACAGTGTTTTGAGAGCAGTGTTGTTGAGACAGTGTTGTTGAGACAGTGTTGTTGTAGCAGTGTTGTTGAGACAGTGTTGTTGTAGCAGTGTTGTTGAGACAGTGTTGTTGAGACAGTGTTGTTGAGACAGTGTTGTTGAGACAGTGTTTATGCTGTACATGTTGTTGATACATGTGTTTTGGAGACAGTGTTGTTGAGACAGTTGCTGTAGCATGTGGTTGAGAAACAGTGTTGTTGAGAACAGTGATGTTGAGACAGTGTTTGTTGAACAGTTTTGTTGGACAGTGGTGTTGTAGCAGTGTTTGTTGAGACAGTGGTTGTTGAACAGTGTTTGTTGTAGCAGTGTTTGAACAGTGTTTTGGTAGCATGTGTTGAGACAGTGTTGTTGAGACAGTGTTGCTTGAGACAGTGTTGTTGAATCAGTGTTGTTGTTAGCAGTGTTTGTGAGACAGTGTTTGGTTGTAGCAGTGATGTTGGACAGTGTTGTTGAATCAGTGTTGTTGAGACCTGTTGTTGAGACAGTGTTGTTGTAGCATGTTTGTGATACAGGTTGTTTTGTACAGTGTTTTGAGGACAGGTTGTTGAGGAGAAAACAGTGATGTTGAGACATAGGATTGTTGAGACAGTGTTGTTTTAGATGTTGTTGAGACAGTGTTGGTGAGACAGTGTTGTTGTAGCATTGTTGTTTGAGACCAGGGTTGTATGAACAGTGTGTTGGACAGTGTTGTTGAGACAGTGTTGTTGAGGACAGTGTTGTTGAGACAGTGTTTGTTGAACAGTGTTGTTGTAGCAGTGGTTGTTGAAGACAGTGTTGTTGTAGCAGTGTTGTTGACTGTGTTGAGACAGTGTTTTGAGACAGTGTTGCTGTAGCAGTGTTGTTGAGACAATGTAGTTGATGACATGGTGTTGTAGCCGTGTTGTTGTAGGCAGGTTTATTGTAGCATGTTTTTGTTAGACAGTGTTGTTGTAGCAGTGTTGTTGAGACAGTGTTGTTGAGACAGTGTTGTTGTAGCAGTGTTGTTGAGACAGTGTTGTTGTAGCAGTGTTGTTGAGACAGTGTTGTTGTAGCAGTGTTGTTGAGACAGTGTTGTTGAGACAGTGTTGTTGTAGCAGTGTTGTGAGACAGTGTTTTGTACATGTTGCTGAGCACAGTGTTGTTGAGACAGTGTTTTTAGCAGTGTTGTTGAGACAGTGGTAGTTTAACAGTTATTCAGACAAGTGTAGTTTAGAACAGTGTATATTAGACAGTGTAGTTTAACAGTGTAGTTGAGACAGTGTAATTTAGACAGTGTAGTTTAGACATTGTACTAAGACAGTTTAAGTTTAGACAGTGAAGTTTATACAGATGTAGTTTAGACAGTTAGTTAAGACAGTGTAGTTTTTAGACAGTGTAAGTTTAGACAGTGTAGTTTAGACAGTGATAGTTTTAGACAGTGAAATGTTTAGACAGTGTAGTTAAGACATGTGTAGTTTCGACAGTTGTAGTTAAGACAGAGTAGTTGTAAGACAGTGGTAAGTTTAACAGTGTATTAAACTTGTAGTTAAGAAACAGTGTAGTTAAGACAGTGAAGTTAAGACAGTGTAGTTAGAGACAGTGTATTTAGGGACAGTTAGTGTTAGACAGTGTAGTTAAACAGTGTAGTATGACATTTAGTTAAGACAGTGTAGTTAAACAGTGAAGTTAAACAGATGTGATTAAGACAGTGTAGTTAAGACATGTAGTTAAACAGTGTAGTTAAGACAGTAGTTTTAACAGTTATTAGACATGTAGTTTAATGAACAGTGTAGTTAAGACAGTTATTAAGACAGGTAGTTAAGACAGTGTAGTTAAGACAGTGAAGTTAAACATGTAAG